AGCGGCCCGGCCCCGGGGGGCGGCGCTCCCCGGTGCTCAGAGCCCCTCTGCGCCCCCGGGCAGCCAAGGAGAGGGTTCTGGGGTGAGCAGCACCTGCGGCAGCGAGGGGAGAGGCCACAGAGTGCCTGCAGCCTCCCGGCAGGCCGGGAGCATCCTCCAGCCCCCTAGAGAGGAGGGGTGGCCACGCCCCGGGGGGGACAGTTACCCCCTGCAGGAGATGGAGGGAGAACAAATTCTCCCCTCCAGGTACACGGGGCACCCAAGAGTGTCCACCATGGGCAGACCCAGTGCCCCCCACATGCTGCTGCCACCCCCTCAGACTAGCACCCCTCTGCCAAGGAGGGTGGGAGTACCAAGGGCAGTGTGGAACATGCCAATTAGCCTCATTAACTTGCTGCTCTAAGCAGGGGAGCTCCAGCTGGAGCCTGGCTGCTTCTGCTGAGGGGTCCCAGAGGTACCTGCCAAAGGAGCCATTGGTGATTGGTATCTAAAAACACATCTCCCAGCAGAGCACTCCCCCCACAGCGTCCATAAGCTCCCCACAGCACTGGCTCCCAGCTCTTTGAACACCCAGAACTGAGGAGCAGATACCACAGCCCTGGAGGTTTGAGAGATCTCACAAAGCACAGAAAGAGCACAAGAGAGTGGATTTTTTGCTGCAACGTGTTTATTATGTGCCAAAAACTACACCACAGCTTACTCCACACGTCTGTAGGAGAGTGCAGTCTTGCCTGCATATACTACAATGAGGTAGAGACTTCACACACAGCTTCACAAAAACCCACAAAGAGCAGCTGGGATATGCAACAATGCAACATCAGCTCAGCAGGAAAAAAATAAAAGAGGGAGAAATTATGACACTGGTTCTTTGGCACACAGCTTCCAATAGAGGGGAAAGTAAAAAAAGAAAGTTCTCAAATCCCAGCAGCAGCATTTCAGTCGACTGCACCATTAACTCCGTACATTTCATAAAGGAAAGGAAAAGTACTTGTCCCCTCTAAGAGAAAGGGCTCCTATGAACCTTCATCTGTCCACCAAAATGCAGCCCTTTTTTAGCTAGTTACAAAAGAAAAGTAAGTCCTGTGACTTTGTGTGATTAAAAACCTCTATCAACCCCCCTTAAGTGCAACTTAAAAAAGTGCAACAAACTATTTAAAACTATATACAGCAGCTCAGAGATCATTTATCCGGTCCAGTTTCAAATCCAAAAAAAGCCCATCCTGTTCTGTTGCAAACCCCTCGATTTACAACTTTCCACCAGCAGCCCCCAGACACAAATTGCAATAATGTTAAAAGCTGCCAGGAAAGAAAATCTCTCATTTCAAACGACTTAAAAACTGTTTAAGAGTGTAAAAAGGAACTGGTAAAAACCCTCGAGCGTAAAATATGAAATATGATTTGGTTTAAATGAAGAGCAAAGTCTCCTTGTTGTTACAGTAAAAAACGCCAGCTGAACATTCAGTTTTTTATGCCGTTCAGATGGGGGTTAAATGAATGGAAAGGCACTGTATGGCAACTGCAAAAAAATGGAGCCAATGAGACCTGCATTATTACCATCAGTATTGCAAGGAATGTAAAAAAGCGCCTTTAATAAATAAAAAACCTAGGTGAAGGCATCTGCATAAACACCTTCTCAACACGTGGCCCTTTTTTTTTTTTGCTTCTCGTCAGCAAACTAGGAACCAAAGTCTGGGAACTGCAGAATTGCTTGAGGGGTGCTCCCCCCCTCAAAAAACCCCCAAACAAAACCCGACAAAATTCACTGTGCATTAGTGCAGAAACAAAAAGACCAGCAAGTGCAAACGTGAATGTAAGATTTTTTTTTTCCCCATTAGTCCTCAGGAAGCACGTTCCCAGCCTGGGTCTGGCACCAGCAGGCACGCTCGTGCGCTCTCCACTTGGCAGGTTAACAAAAGGACTTTCTCCTGCGCCTGCAGCGGCCCCGAGCCTCGGCGGCCTCTTTAGCTGGAGTCTCTGTTCTTCTGGTTGCGCATCAGCGGGCGGTGGTGACGCAGGACCTCCATGGAGTGCTGCCAGTGCCAGCAGGAGCGACAGAAGTACTTGAAGCAGATCTGCGGGGAGAGCAGAGGGGCAGCGCGGTGGGGCAGGGCTGTCCAGGCGAGGCAAACGGGGCCGGCCCGCCCGCAAAGTGCCATCCCCTCCCTCCCTCCCCCCAGTTCTGCAGCCCACACCAGCACAGGGATCTTTGAAGGGGAGGGAGGGAATTCCAGCAATGCTGCCGGAGGGCGGGTTGTGCTGAGCTTCCAGACTGGCCCCTTTTAAATAGATTTGAAAAATCCGGATCTGGGCAGCGGCCAGCAGCGGCAGGCAGGGCTGCGGCAGCTCCGCC